GTTTTTTTTTTTTTTTTTTTTTTTTTTGTCCTTTTTGAGACCGGCCACACCTTGCTCAGCCAGTGAGCGCACCGGTCATCCCTATATAGGATCTGAACCGGTGGTGGGAGTGCTGCTGTGCTCCCAGCGCCGCACTCTCCCGAGTGCACCATGGGCTCGGCCCCTACCAGGCATCATTCTAAGAACTTTAAAATATTAATTCATTCAATCCATACAGTAACCCTATGAGGTAAGTACTATTTCACAGTGAAGCACAGACATGTTAAAAAGCTTGTACAAGGTCATACAGCTAGTAAGTGATCAAGGCAGGATTCAAGCCTGATATTCTGGCTCCACAATTCACATGCTTAATCACTGCGCCAGTGTCTTTTACTAGTGAATGAATGAATGTAGCGTTAGGCCCTTGTATCAATGAAGAAATACTATATAATGGTTATGGGATACAGGCTCTTAGATTAATTGTTCTTAAAAGCTCTCTTTTATCAGGCCACTACTCAAAAGTCTTCAATTGCTCCCCAGTACACTCCTTTCCTTGTCATTCAGATTGCAAAATCTGGACTAGACGTACTCTTTCCAAACATATTTCCAGCCCTTCCAACAATAGCTCCAGCCAAGGACATCGTGCTTATTCCTGCGTCCACCCCTTTGCTCATGCTATTCTCACCTGGGCCCCCTTTGACAATGTCTACACTCAGGTACTTAAGAGATTTTGCAGAGATTTCCTGATTTGGCTCAGACACCAATGCATTTGGGAAGCTGGTCTCTCTCTCCTCTGAACTCTTCTTGTATTTTTCCTTCTTTCTAATTTGGGTGTATGATTAGAAACTGCTTGGTGTTTTAAGCACGTGTGTGTGTGTGTGTGTGTGTGTGTGTGTGTGTGTGTGTGTGTGTGTGTGTGTGTGAAGACATTGAGTTCAGTGAAGGCAGAGAGGGAGTCTCATACTTCCTTAACATCCACCATTAGTTCTACAAACGTAGTAGATGCTTTGCAAATTAATCTTCTGCAACTTCAGCTGCATGTCTTCCCTATAAGATACCCTTATCCTCTAGCTGCATGCAATGCTTTTATTCAGTGTTTGGGAGGTGGAGGAAGAGAGGACAGGACGGTGTCCATCGTGAGTTCTCTACATGTGGTTAGATGTTCTCTCTTTTGTACTTGAGGAGAGACTCCAGAGTGTTGTGGTTAAGAACAGGAACCCTGGTGCTAGCCAGCCTGCCTCTTACTAGCTGTGTGACCTTGGGCAAGTCACTTAAGCTCTCTGAACCTCTGTTTCCTCTTCTTTTAGTTTTAGCAATGATAACAGTATCTCATAGAGTGACCCCTGATGAATATATGTGTTAATATTTATAAAGTTCTTGGAACAGTGCTAAACACAAGCTGTTCAATAAATTGTCAGCACCTGCACTGCTTGTTTTAAATGACAAACATTCAAGGGCAGGGGCCCAGGGCTATTTTCACCTGCTTTGTAGCAGACACTTTCTCTCAAAAAAACCTTATGCAGTAACCACACTGGACGCGCCTGGGACCCTTCCAGCTCACGCCACTGGTGCACTTGCCTCATGCCAGCAGCTGTACATGATCTGGTAGACGGTGTCTGATGCCAGTTGGGGCCGATAGAGCCTGTGGCCCTGGGAGACCTTCACGACCACCTGGGAGTTGTCATACAAGTCATAGGGCTGCTTCCCCAGGCTGAACACCTCCCACATCAGGATTCCTGCACCACAGGAGGCGTGGCCAGCAGACAGAAAGGAAAGAGATCTGATGTCAGAAGGTTTGTGGAATGAGCTTCACACACCAGGTCGGGAAGGCTGTGAGTCAGAGTGAGGGATCCCTGGGAAATGAGTCCTAGTGAAAAGGGCGGCGCATGGAGGGTGGGCCTGCAGCAGTACTTCCAGAGCCCAGGGTCTCTTCCCTAGGGTCCCTGAGACCTGTGCACCTGTGCTTGTTCATAAATGTGTGAATGGCAAGGACAGTCACAGAGGAAGCTGCGTGGGACCAAAGTTCTTGAGCTGCTCCAAGGAGGCGGCTGGGGCCTCACGTTGACAACTGCAGGACATTCACAGTCCTCCAAAGCTTATCCAGGGCACTGTAGTCTCTGGGTTAAGAACCCAAGTTCTGGTCATGGTGGTCAAGAGGGTCGCATTTGGGATCAATGAGATGCGGCCATTGAGGCTGAGTTCTGCCATGTACAGGCTAATTCTCTTAATCCCTCTCGGCCTCAGCTTTCCTGTCTGTAAAATGGGGTACTTGCATCTCATGAACTTGCTGTGAGGATTAACTAGGATAAAGCATGTAGAGCACTTAAAAGAATACTGGGACATTTTAAGTGTTCTCTAAATGGTGGCCATTGTGCAGTACTGGCTAAGGCCAGAGAATTTCAACAGTTAGCCAGCTTCACAATCTTGGAAAACAAGAAATGTGTTAAGAAGGAAGAAAATTGTTCTAGAATCATAACAGAGGTACTAACTCCAAGCCTTCTCTGACTTTACGGCTACAGATTTTATGTTAAAATATTTATAATAAAGCAATCTTACAAGTTGTTGTGGCTTTAAAAAAAAAAAACACATTCAAAAACAACAATCCACAAGAATGCTGCTCCCTCACGACTTTCTCTTTGGAAGGCTACAAACTTATTTCAAGTATAACGTTATTGTTCAAAATATCTATGAGGCTCCTCTTTGGAAATTGCTTTCAGAGGCCCTTGTTCACTTAGGATATTTCCAATGGAGACAAATTATTTAGGAATAGATTTCGTGTTTGTAAACAGCCAGAAAATATCTGGAACCAAGTTCTGTTTCAGAAGGTGAATATTCAAGCTGGGTAATGCTACTTTTTGGTCAAAACCAAGCTGTAACTATTGAATAGGATACTGATTTTTTAAATATAATTAATGAGGCATATCAGCTGATGCATGGATATTGAATCTAACTTTGACAACAAGGTACAGAAGTCAATCAGCACAAAATGATACCAAGTAATCGCGAAAATGCTATCTTTGTGATTTTTCCTTTTTCTGTGTATATTTGATTAATTTTTACAATGAACAATGTCACTTATATGAAGGGAATAGTTATTTTTAAAATATTGTGTCACATAGAAAAATAAATGGCTAACTAAACTTTCCTTTTTTCAGGCAGTATTGCAGGTGTCAAACAGTAAGTCAAATTACACTTAATGGACTAAGACAGGCGTAAAATTAGGTCTCAGTCATCGTTAGTATATTTTATAACTTTATGATAATTTGAATTATTTATCCTCAACCCATCTGACAGTAATTGAAAATAGTCCTGACATTTTTACAACATAGAGAAATATTAAAAAATCTACACTGTTACAATTTAAGAATTGTTTCCCTTTCTAATTATGTTTACTACATTTTAATATAAATCTTTTAATAAAATAGGAGTCAGCCAACTTTTCATGTAAAGGGCCACACAGTAAGCATGTTAGGCTTTGCAAGTCATGCAGTATTGTGGCAACTACTTTACTCTGCTGCTGTATTACACAATCATCATAGACCATCTATAAATGAATGGGCATGACTGTGTTCCAATAAAACTTCATTTACAGAAACAGGTCACCTGATTTGGCCCTGGTTTGTAGTTTACCTACCCCTGCTCTAAAATATAAATTTTAACACGAAAAGGAGACTACTTGAAACTAGGTATGAGCCAAAGAAAGTACCGAGTTATGCCAGGTGTTTACACTGGGATGCCACTAAAATTGGACAATTCAGATGAGACTGGTTATCACAGTTACTTTCATGCAGAAAACCAGTGACTTCATTTTAAGCCCTTCAACTTTTTGAACTTTGAGCAAACTTGGATTTTTCAATGAGTCCTTTTAAGAAACTGTTTGAAATCTTCATTGGAAAAGCTTTTATCCCTTTGGATTTTATGAGGATGTGCTAGCAGGATGTAAATTGCACAATGTGTGGAAGACGTCCTAACGCCCGACCCAAGAAAGTAAATCATCTTCTTTAACCTCTTGCTTTTCTCAGGCCATAGGTGTAATTTTGTAAATGCTCAAGGGCCTTTTAAGGATGGATGTTGCTGCTCTTGTGGTTTCCCATTGTGGAACCTGGCTTACGAAACGGGGCCGGGTCCTATGTGGCCACATCCTTACCAAATGCCCATACGTCTGACTTGCTGCTGTATTTGAAGTAGTGAAACACCTCTGGGGCTGACCACTTGACTGGAAACTTTGTTCCTACTGAACTGACATACTGGTCATCAAGAACATACCTGCAGGAGAAAACATCAACACAGACCTTAAGCTGTGGTGGCACAGGCTGTTGAAGAACACAGAGCCACCCAGAGTCTCGGCCCGTTGCCTCGGTTTTCTGGATCTTTTGCTTCCTTTTAATGTGTGATCTTAGACAGAGGCTGCTTATGATTTGTATTTAAAAATGATCTCAACCTTTGAAAATAGCAACACCTGAATGCAAAATGTTTGGTAAGTACAGAAAAACACAAAAATGTAAAAATAAAATAACTCAGAATCCCACCTCAAAGGTAACCTGTAATTCTATCGCTCAAGATAGATTTTTGCTTGTTCTTTCTGATCTTTTTTTATATATGTAATTTGAGCAAAATTGGGTTTCTGTTGTATTGAGATTTGCTTTTATTTTTCCTTTTACAGCATATCACAAGCACTTTCCCATGTGGTTACATTTTCTACTGCCACATCGTGTTTAATGAATAATATTTCCTCTTATGGATTAACATAATTTAACTGTGTAAGTGTTGCTTCTAATCTTCTGCTGTTATAAACAGTGTGATCAAAAATATCCTATGGAGATACCAAAACCATAAAAATATATGTACAAGGATGTTCTTTGTAAATACGATAAAATGAAAGCAACCTCAATGTTCCCAGGTTGAGGAATAATTAAATATAAGGCACTCCAAAAAGTTCATGGAAGGATTAGTAGTACTTCTTAACTTTATTTTTCCATGATCTTTTTGAAGTACCCTTGTATATTACGGTATATTAATACAATAGAATACTATGCAGACATTAAAAAATTGGATAGCTCTATATTTACCAAAATAGGAAGATGCTTATGGTATATGATTATGTGCAAAACAGCACGGACGTATAATGTGATTCCATTTTTTGTGGGAACGAACAGTAAATGTACATATTAGTCTATATAATTGGGTATATTTAAGAGTAAGATCTGAAAGGACAGCCACCAAACATGTCAGCAGTGGTTACTCCAGCTACTGAAAATGGGATGGAGTGGAGGCAAATTTGACTTTTGCTTTAGACGCTACTGTTATATTTCTTATAACAAGTACATATCATTTATATAATTGAGGAGGTAATACCATATATTTGCCCACAAAACCACATCAAAAGCAAAAACATAATGACTCTACTAGAGAAAATAGGAAAATGAAAATTATGGAAACTGAAATTTTTGATACAATTTGTAGGAAAGCTTTACACACCAGAGTGTGTAAGAGATCCCTACTGTAATTAAAAACATCAGAAAAAAGCTAGCTGGAAAGATCATTCTTCTTGTGACTTAAACTTTCCCCAAATTAACAGGACCAAATTAAGTCACAGGCATCTAAGTGATGTGGCTACAGAGCTTCATGAGCAACAGGGCTAGCTGCCTGGCCTCCAGGATCCCTAACTCAGAACAAGACTTTTGTCTCCCTTTTCCAAAGCTATGGAGAACTTGACAGCATGTTCCCTGGATGCTGACATTACAACCAACATTCCTTCTTTGAGAACAAAAGCAGGGATCTGTTCCCCTGTCCTAGGAGCTTCTCTCTGCCCTAAGGAGCTGTGAGCAGATTTTTTTCTTGCCCTTGAGAGAGCTACACATTTGGAGTGTCCGTGTTGGAGACTCAGTGTATGGTCGTTGGAGTGATAGCAGGTAGCACACAGTTAAGGGACACTTTACCAATATTGAGGGGTCCCAGAGGAATTACAATAGCTCCTATGGTCTGTGCCACTGGGATCAAAAAGCACGCTCTAATACTGAATTTTGGAGAAGTCATGAAAAAGCAGATCCTCCTAGGGCATTTTAGGTCCACGTTTGCTATCTATGGAGATAGACTTGGTCAACTTTTCAGATCTCTTTTAAACTGTATTATTCTTCCTCAGAATTACATGAGCTTATGTTGAGTCAGCACAACTTTATAGCTGTATTTTGTTTCAATGTCAGGAATATTTGCTTGCCCTCTAGACTAAACTATAGGCATTTTAAGGACAGGGACTACCCCATTCAATCAGTTTCTCCTGTAGGGCCAAGGCATTCAGTAGGCACTCAATAAACATTTGTTGACTAGAAAGCCAACATATATGTCTTCATCTCCTATGAAAAATTGTGAAAACTTGTTCTGAGGCTTAAACAGTACGAGTATTCAGAATTAAGGAAATAAAAAACAGTACTTTCTCCAAATCACGAAGTGGTGGTAGAATGCCCACCAAGAGAACCTCAGTCTACTTTTGTGAGTTACTTGGTGATACAGACAATTTAATGATGTCACAACAAAAACTTTCCTAGGATTAATGTTCTGTTCATTTGAATATAGATTTTTAAAAACTCTATAAAACAGAAAGGACTAGAGGAGCCTTGATTGAGTTAAAATATGTATTATAAATATTTATCCAAACAATATGGCTGTAACATATTGTATCTAAATATCTAGGGTCTTTCATGGAATTTATTCATAAGTTTAGAAAATATTTATCGTTGTTGAGGGAACTAAACGTAACCTCAGATAACTTCTGAAGAACAGTCCCGTCTCACCAGTGAAGAGACGAGGTAAAATGTGATTCACAGGTAGTCAGAGGCAGTATGGGGAGACTCAGGTTTCTCAGCCCCCAATTCTATATCCCCACAAGGCCTTCAATTATGATGACATTCAAAGGTGAATGGAAATCCCTCTTTCCTTGGTTTTCCCTTTGGAATTGGCTTACCTCGTCATTCCAAAGTCAGATACCTTCACAGAGAGGTCACTGTCCACCAAGCAGTTCCGAGCAGCCTTTGGAGGAAAAACAAAATCACCCAGTAGTAAAAGTGATCTCCTCACATCAGAGTCAGACATTTTCCTCCTTTTTATCAGAATTCTCAGCACAGTCTAAGATTGCCTATCATAAACCCAAATGCTCTGAAGCTGTCTTTTCTTCCTTTGCAATTTCCAATTTTTCAAAATGAAAATGTGCTCCTAAGAGGGTTTCATGCAAACATCCATCCTTGTCAAACAATATGAAAAGTGTTATGCTTTAAACACAAAACCTTAGCTTATCAAGGGGAGAGGAGAAATTTCTAGGGGCTCCCTTTCCATCACTAGATACTGTGCATTAATAGATGCTTTGAAGGCATAAACGCCATGCTGGTAACATACAGAATGCACTGGCCTAGAGTGCAAGGCACGTGTGCTGTTCAGCACAAGAAAATCTCTAAAGATAAATCCCAGTGAATACCAACCAAAACACTCCCCTCTCCCACCCCACCCCAAAGACAAGCACAAATTCTTTCTCTCCCGTTCTTTTTTTTTTTTTGTATTTTCAGTTACTCTATCAAATGATTGCATTAGCTCTAAGCCCTTCCCAGAGTAAAGGTCAACTTGGGTTTAATGATTCCCAGAAACACTAAATTGGCCAGAGTCTTTCCATTCTGTCTATTCTTCATACCACAGCACAGCTATCTAGATTTTGATGGCTTATTCTCTTTTTACTCATCTTTCTGTACTCCTGATATTTTGTTCTAAAGCTGTGATTTTTATTATAAAAGTGTCATGTGCTTAAGCAAGTCACAAGCGAGCAAAGTAAAAGAGAAAGAGGTTCCTTGCCATCCTTCCCAATGGCCCCATCCCTGGAGGTGGGAGCTGTGGACTGCTTCCTTTCCTTTCTTTCAGTTTCTGATGGCTTTGCTTACCAAGTCCCGGTGTATGAACTGGTGGCTTTCCAAGAAGGCCATGCCTTCACAGACATCATAGCACATTTCTAAGAGCTGGGAGGGTTCAAGTCCTTTTCCATGACTCTTCAGGTAATTAAGCAAGCAGCCATTGGTAATATATTCAGTCACTATGTATATGGGGTATTTCTCTGAACACACTCCATAGAATTTAACCAGCTTGGGATGGCTGAGTTTCCTGGAAATAACAGATTTTCAAAGTTCAGTACTGCATTTCCACATTCCATTTTCCAGGTATCTTGAAAAAGAATCCCTCTCAGATTTTTGTTTTTTTTAATTTCCCCCCTTCTACTTGAACGAGAAGGAGAGGAAAAAGTTTAGGACATGATATTGGGAGCACAATTGCCTTTTCAGGTAAAAAGTGCTGCCTCATATCAGACATTGGCAACCCCAGCAACAATTTAGCACCCCACCAGCTCCATGTGGGTGGCCCACCACAGCCACCGCAATAGCCATGACTGCTGTAAAAGTGGCTAGATGCCACAACTACTGTGCCGATGGCCTGCCACTCAGGTGCATTGAAACAAGGAGTCACCAGTGGAGACCAAAGAAAAGAAGAGAATGTCTCTCTCCACAAAGCCTACTCCAGAGTGATAGAAGAACCGTCTGCTCTACGATAATAGTGGGGGACCTGAAAACACCTCTTTCAGCACTGAACAGATCATCTAGACAACAAATCAACAGAGTAACCATTACTTTTTCATGAGAAGAAACCTAGGGTTGTTGGGGGGGAGGGACAGGGAGGGGGATGGGGAGAGATTGGATAAGGAGCATAAAGAATAAGTATGATTTATAATAATGTGCATGCTAATAACATTGATTTGATCAACATACATCAACGTTGAGCCCCCAAAATACGTATAATCAATTATGATTCAATTAAAAAAAAGAAAAAATATCATTTTACCTTATTGTTACATTTTTTTTTCAATAATAAATTTAGAAAATAGTAACCACATGATAGAGTACTTCTGGCAGGTCACAATGGGATGGATGCTCAGTCTTTATAAGTTCATCAACTTGTCCTTATGTGATTTATCTATTTATATCATTTTCCAGGATGATTCTTTAATGTTCAGATATGTAAAGTCGATTTAAATTTAACATATGTCAACTTTTAAATTTTTAAATAAATGAGAATTTATGAAATCTTCAGTTATTTTCTTCCTTCTTAATTGAACCATAGAAACATGGCTTACCATGTTACTCAAGAAGATGAGCTCAGTCATGTATCTTTCAGCAGTTTTAGAGACCTGCATGGCACTGCTCCCTTTAAAGGGAAGGCTAGTGGTGGGACAAAGAGCTATCACCCAATTAAGGGTATTGCTTGAGCAAATTCAGTCACTGCCCAGGTGGCTCACGGTGGGAACATCATGTCAATTGATATTCCCTGTGTGATAGACCTCAGTTTAACATTACATTTGGGATTTGGATTACTTGTTTAAAAATTATTAAGTATTTCAAGACAGTGACAGCAGAGCATTAAGCCAAGCATAGAGCTCTTCTAAGTATGGGGGCCCTTGCAACTGTGCAGGTCACATATGTCCATGAAGTCAGCCCTGGCCAAAGGCTTATATTCACATAGAACTCCTGTTTCCAAACAATTCTGCAATTATGGTAAGAGTGATTGTTGTGACTTTCCTGGTTTCTTTGGTCTTCATAAAGGAATGACTAGGAAACAGACACTGGAACTTCTGCCTGGGTTTGCATCTCTGCCTTACTATTTTTACTAGTTTGGTGAGTTTGGGCAAGTTATTTAACATTTCTGTGCTTCAGTTTCCCATAAAACAAAGATAATAATGGTGCATCTCTCAAGGCTTCTTATGAAAATTGAATGAGTTAAGTTCTCAGAGAAATGCCTGTGAATACTATTTAAGTGTTTAAGTACAATTTTTAAAAGTGCTCTCAATCTGTAGCAGGCTAGGATTTATGATTTCAGTTATCTGTGATGAAAGCCCTGCTGTAACATTGTTTTTCATACCATGCTAATTGGTTGCCTAAAAGCAGAGTGATCAACTGTCCTGGTTTGCCTGGGACTGAGGGGTTTCCAAGGACGCAGAAAAGTCTCAGGCAAACCTGGGTGGTTGGTCACCCTACAAAGTCTGATTCACCATGTTGGCAAGAAGAGACAGAATTATATAGATGAGGTAGATGAGGGGGAGGGAAGGAGAGAGAGGGAGGGAGGGACAGAGGGGGGAAGAGAGAGAGAGAGAGAGAGAGAGAGAGAGAGAGAGAGACAAAAGAGACAAAAAGAGAAAGAGAACACACATATATTGCCAAGAATTGAGGACCGTGCTTGTCTAACATACCATATTAGACGGGGTATCTTCATTTATCAGGTGAGGAAAGAAGTAGGGTGAGAAAGGAATTTTTACCAGACTGTATTGAAGGTAACAAGAAGGAAAAGTATATTGTCAGCAGAGCATTAGTTTTCAGTACTTTCTTAGTCTTACGTAATAGCCCCACTCTGTCCCTCATCCCACCATGTACCTCCCCACAGGGCAAGGAGGCCACAAGGCCAAGAAGACATGTCTAGTCAGAGCCTATATGTCCCTTTCTCAGCCACCTTTGGGGTACCAGAACTCTGGAATCCCCTGTTCGCATAGTCCTGAGGCCTCTTCCAAGGCCTGTGCAGATTCTTCCTTGGTCTTTCCCCTCAAGGGTAAACCATGCTGTCCCTAGCCAAGATCATTAGCCAACAGATAATTGTTTGTGGGAGACAGGCAGGGAGCTTGGATGTACTGATGATGTGTCTGCACATAAGTACTGAGGCCCCTCAAAGAACCGGAAAGAGCTAGATATGATGTGTGGACTCTTGTTCCTGGCCTTGCAAATATTAGGGACAGGCCTAGTAGTGCTAATGACCTCCCACAGTGAGAGCTAAGCTGCCATTCCTCAGAAGAAACTTACATCATGGTCTGGGCCTCCTGAAAGAATTCATCTTCCGACATGGAGCCCACCTTGATCATCTTGACGGCAACGTCATACTGCCCCTTCCACTTGCCCAGCTGGACAACTCCAAACTGGCCACTTCCCAGCTCCTTCAACAGAGTGATCTCTTCTCTTTTCAGTTCCCAAATTCCTAATAAGGCAAGACAGACACTCTTTAAGATGAGCATAGAAGACTTTGAGGCTAATGGTTTCCCAAGAGATTTCCTCTCTAATGAGAATTTAACACCGACAATATAAAGAACAGCAAGACTTTTTATTTTAAGTTGATAACTTAAGAAAAACCCCCTTTAGTTGACAATTTAAAAAACCCACGTGATAACACCACCCAGCACTGTTCTCAAGGCAGTGACAGTAATTGATAAGAAATCTCAGAGCAAACGCACTTTGCCAACTAGAGGCATCTTGGAGATAGTCAGTGTCAAACACGCTAATGCCCTTAGGTTGGTAAAATATCATTAGATTTTCTTATAAAACAAATTTAATCTGTGGTCTGGGTGGATGTCATTATCTTAAACACACAAGGTTGAAGACTGGCTCCACTAAGCAGGCACAGAATCCGGGAAAAAGAAAGGACAGGCAATAGGATGCTAGAGTCTAATGGTAGGGTCTAATAAGAGGAAAACTTTGACAATCTTTTTGGTAATGCTGGGGAGCTTACAGATTTAGTTTGGGAGGACAGAATATTTTTTTGTTGTTGTTAAGGAAACAAGCAACTATATTAGGGCTGAAGCCCTCCATGGCACAATCTGATCAGAGAACTCCTTCCTGTCTTTCCCCCCTTTTTCATTAAATTAACCACTTATTTTTCAAACCAAAAAGATTAGAAATGGAGTTTAAGAGCCCAAGGGTGTGTACATACCACTTCCCAGGGACACAGAGACGGGGACTTTGTTGGCCTTGGTTGACACAGGGTGGCGGAGCCGTGTGATCATGCCTGCAATAGAATCCACATCATATCATCACATCATTACCTCATAGCACATCGCATTACCTAACACTGGCTCACAACTACTCTCTCTCCAGAGTGGCTGAAAACAAGGAGATCAGGGTGTTGTAATGCCACGATAGAATCCATTCCAGCTGTGTTCATCCTGTAGTTGTATTAATTTGCTTGACTGGACTGATTACCTCAATGCAAAGCAAAAGTTAAAAGAATAAACCACTTTATGTGATTTTTAAAAATCCATAGAAGTTAGTTGCTTGATGAAATCTTTTACAGTACTATACTTAAGCATGTATACACACAGCACACACATTTGGCAAAAAATTAAAACAATACAGAAGGGTACAAAGTAAAAAATAAAAAATACAGAAGGGTACAAAAAATAAACTGGATTTAAAAAATTGAACCTATTATTAAGTTTTATTAAATGATCAAGTCGTTTTAATTGTTTACATAGAGTTACGGTAAAACTGATTTAAAATCATCATAATATGTATGTTTCTTGCTTTAAATGTGGGATATTGTCCAAATCATGAAAACTATCACACATGTACTTTTTCTCTTCTTCCTTTTTCTATATATTTGTTTGCTTTTCATATGAGCAGTCTCCAAACTTTTAAAATCCTGCATCTTTAGTCAGCCAAAAAATAAATAAATGAATAAATAAAAATTTTAAATTAGCACATTCCTTTGAAATGTATATATATATATATACAGCTACTGCTATAATGATGCGTTGTGTGAATCACACCATGAATGAGATTTTAAAAAACATATCTAAATAAACATTTAAATATTTTCTTCCTATACCCAGTGAAGTCTCTTGTGCATCCTCTGAAACAGAATCATTTCACTTGGAGATGTCTGTTTATATACCTTTTCCAACAGGTGTTTTTGTGGTGCTACAGGTTAAAATAAACAATTGAGGAAACTGGGGTAAAGGGAAAATACAAATAATAACCAAAATGAGAGCCAGAAGTAAGGCCAATTTACCTACGGGTATGCAATTAATCAGATATAGTAGCACAGATTTGACACCGAGCCCATGGATTATTTTAACTCATTGGTGGAAATTCACCCAGTCACTTCTCTTAAGTGACGGTATTCTAGAAAATGGAGAGGGTTTCTTTTTATATTTTCACCAGTTGATTAGGCAAAATTTTAAAAGCATAATAGAACCCAGTGTTGGTGAGGATGAGACAAACTCCTGTTAGTGGGACTGTACATTTCTGAAAAGCATTCAAAAATGTCTAAATTTTAAATATTCTTAGCCTTTTTCTAAGAAATTTCACTTGTAGGAATTTGGTGATAGAAACAATCATATGGGTGTGCAAAGCATTGCGTGCAGGACTGTGCACTGAAACACCCATGGTAATGTAAAAGTGTTGGACATGATCCAACTGTTAATCAATAGAGGGCCAGATGAATAAATTACGGGGTAAGTCTGCAACAGAATTCTATGTAGCTGTGAACTAGACCAAAGTAAGCTGTACGTATTTGCAGGGAAAGACCTCTAAGACATGTTGAGTAGAGAGAAAACAAGCCAAACAGTATGATCTCATCTCTGTAAAAATGTAATTTATATATATATCATTTATATTTATATACACAACAAATAATAAGTGTTAGTATCAGCATGCAAAAGATGTCATAATAGACACCAATTTGTCCATGGTGGTTATACATCAATGACATATATTTCTATAATATTTGAATTTTATAATCAACTTTCTTCTATAGGCAGAAAAAAATCTACAAATATTTTCAGAGAAAATTTCTTCTTCTAAGTCACTCAACTCACTCCACTTCATTCTTTCCTGCATTATAGAGTGTATCATGTTGTATTCCAGGAAATGTAAGTTAAAAATCACAGCAGGCAAAGGTCTTGAGAGCATTTTTTCCTACTTTCATGGTTCCCTATATAATTAAGAATATTAGAAGGCTCAGTAGTACTCAAGAAAACTGATATTTATTGACAAGGACCCATAGAAGAAAAACTGAAGTAAGTTACCTGCTGAATTGTGTTGATGATAGTGAATAAGCTTCGGAATGGAATCAAAACAGTAGTTTTCTGCCAGGTATAGTTTGTTCTCAGCGTTTGTATGCACATGGTAATGTTTGACGGTTCCTTTTTTATCACTAGTAAGGAAGAAAGAATGTTAGAACATTTTAAATAAACAATTGAAGCTTGATTAAACAATGGTTAAATAATTATTTTAGATGCATTTGCAAATTTTGGAGAGAGAAGTCAGGGAGGTTTTCTCAGTCTTAACATCTGGTGTTTATCTGGAGGTATCCGTGACAATCAGTAATTACGGAAGAGGGTTCCTCCGTGAACCCAACATATCCTTTGTGCACATACAGAATTCATATACAGTACAATTCCAACTTTCTGGACTGCTCTTCCCTTAGTAAGTATAAAGCTGGAATCTTCCTTTGATGATTGAGAGCCTTGCCATTCTTCAAGATCATTATTTTGAACATGAATTCTCTTTTAGGATAATAATGGAGATAAAAATGTGGGAGTCAAAGGTGATGAGACTGCGGGTAGTCTCACCCCAGAGCATGGGTGGGAGGCTCTTTTGGGAGTGGAGCATGTAGGATGAAGTGGGTAAGGGTGTCCTTTAATTTGTCATGCAAACTTGTATCTTCTGCATAAAACATTTTTTCTTTTCCTCTACTTCTAGAAAATAGTGGAGAATTGACGCACATTGATTTAGGCTAATCGGGAATAAGATACCTCTCTTAGATTTTAGTTTATGGCATAGTGGTCAAGAACTGGGCTTTGAGTCCAGTTCTACCATTGCTAGCTACCTCATCCAGTTGTTATAAAGATTGGATGAGATTATACTAGGGTACTTCAATAAGTTCATGGAAAAATAGAATTAAAAGATAATATGAATCTTTCCAAAATCTTTTTGAAGTACCCTCATATTTACTATGCTCGGCACATAAGAAACAGTTAATAAATTGTTCTTGTAACATCAACGCAGTTAAAACAGCAATTATAAAAAGGAGAAAGGGTGCTTCTCTTAGTTGCAAATAGCTAATCAGCTCTTGGTATCAGCATGAATTTCACTCGAGCCCATTGATGAGGTTTCATAAAAGAGGGCTTCTGTATTAATTCATTGGGATTATTTTCTTTTCTTTTCTTTCTTTCACAAATTAAAATGTAATTTTAAAAACTTTGGAAGATTTTTAAAGAAAATTTTAATTTAGAAAGTATGAACAACTCAGAGATGACAAATGTTAACATTTTTATTATATATTTTCCCAGTATCTTTCTCCTTCTCCTCCTTTCACTCATCTCTTGCTTCATCTGCATATTATATATCTTCAAAAAAAGGAAACAATTTTGTAAACATTTTTCACATAAGAATATGTGATGAACATTTTCTCATGTTACTAATTAGGACAAAATCATTTGTAAATATCTGAGATTTTTCTATTAATGGCCCAAACTTAATCTCTAATCAGTCCCTTATCAATGAGCATTTTAGTTCAAATTGCTTACTATTGGGTTTTTTTTTTGTCTTTTTCATGACCGGTAAGGGTCACCCCACCCTTGGTGTGGTGTCGCCCGCACCGCGCTCAGCCAGTGAGTGCACTGGCCATTCCTATATAGGATCCGAACCTGCGGCGGGAGCACCGCTGCACTCCCAGCGCCCACTCTCCTGAGTGCGCCACGGGGTCGGCCCCATTGGGATTATTTTCATTTGAATCCTTATCTACTTGCTGATTTATCTACCCAGCCACTTTAAAAAATGAATCTAGAGTCAAGAAGCTCTACTAAGAAGACATCTGATATCAGGTTTGACTGAAACTACAGGGGCAGAGGGCCACAGATCTTTTGATACTCATTGAACAAAGTCTTTTCCCTGTTCTCACTGACTAGGCTTTAGCCAATATCTAAGTGTTACCATGTGCGACCTAGTACATGAGATGCACTGGGGACATAGCCTCTGGCATTGGAAAATGCCATGGGACACTCAGGGTACATCCTATCACCTCAAATTGAAGGTAGGTAGTCTGTTAAAAAAATCTCAAAATAAAATAACGTCTTCACCACTTAATTATTATAAATATACATATACGCACTGAGGGGTAGGTCACATGAAGTAGTTTAGGAAATGTTTACTAAGACATGCTGTGCTCTAGGCACTCTGGCGCTGCCTGGGGTGGGCAGAAGAGGATCACCCAAGAACAACCTTTTGAAAATGGGGTGGTGGGGAAGAATCCTATTGCATTCAACAGAAATACTCTGATCTAAAATTCCAGAGTTTATAGATGGTGTCTTATCCCAAAATGTGACTAAGAACCCAGCATATTGAAAGCACACACACAGAAATATAAAAGAAATAAGTACACGTCATACTTACTTCACAGCCTTACTGAATAAAGACACTGTGTACATTCCCACCTGGCTGGAATTCCTAACCATAAATGCTCCTTCTTTTCCCTGAAAAGGAAGGAAAATGTAGAAAGAACAGAAAACATTTTCATTATTCTTGAAAAGAATTCTTCATGGAAGGTGGTAGGAAAATAAATCTGTTAGACCTACTTCCAATATCACCGAGGGCACAGGTTATACACCAGTTGGCACTGAAGGGGGCCCAAGGTTTTGCTTTCCTTATTTTCTCAATCAATATCTTTATAGACCTGCCCTGTGTGCTTCCTCTCTTCCTCTCCAGTTAATTTTTAACCCTCTTTGATAATTTTCTGTTTTGTACTCACGCAACTCTAATGTTTTTGTCTTTAAGACATAAAATTTAGAACCACATATCACCATATCATGCTCTTGGAAAGTTTTAGAAAACCAAAGACGCAGAATAAAGCTCTACACTCAACTTGTCTTTCTCAATGACTTGTGCTAATTCTAAGCAGGTCCAGATTCAGAAAGAGCAGATAATAAATTATGAATGTGACAAAACACCAGAAGTCGTCACATTCTCACTGCCACCCCACAAAGAAATAATTGGTGTGTTCAGTGCTTTATTAGGTTGAACTATATCAACATGTCATTTTTATAGATTAAAAAAGTTTGCTACCGGTAATTCCATATCAATTAGTAATAGAATCAGATACATCTGTTGAACTCTGGTTTAGGTGCTAACCCGCAGTGACAGAGCTGAGGTAAATGGCTATGTTAATGGCCTCCAATAAATCATCTCTCTTATTCAGGCCCTGTGCAGTCCCCTTCCACACTGACTCTGAGCTGAGCCATGTGACTTGCTATGACCAATGGGATACTAGCAAACATGACTAAAGCAGAGACTCAATAAGCATTTGCACTGTGGAGCTTGTCGTCTCTGACCACTGCTATGCTCTGAGGAGACCCAAGTTAGGCACATAGTGCAGCTGCCCAGAGAAGAACTCTGACACCCCCGGTGACTGCCTTGACTACACCCAACCCCCCAGTCAATCCACCAGCCAAATGCAGCCACATGAGTGACCCTGACCAAAACCTGCAGAAGACCTGCTGGCCCAGATGACTTACAGAATTTGTGAGAAATCATAAATCTTGTTTCAAGCCACCCCACTTTGGGGTGGTTTATTATGCAGCAATAGATAACGGAAACAGAAGAAGTGGCTAGATGTGAAGGGCCTGGTAATCCCTAGGCTGGACAGCCAACACTGTGATGGGTCGCCTGTGTAATCAGCTTACTGCTGACTACGAGAAGTGCATTAACCTCTGGTCCCTCAGGAAGAGGTTCTTATAAACTATTTTAAAGACAAGACTATTTACCTTTTGTCTCAGTAACTGTTCAGACTGTGACCTGGAGATGTTACCTGCAAACCAGCTGCAACAGGAGAGAATTCCACATTTGAAAATTAATAGTTTTTTAATTGTATAAGTTGACACAATTTTCTAATCCATAAAATGAGGCTTTGGCTTACATCAGGAGTTTCCAAATCTGACTGCTCAAGAGAATCACCTGTGGAGCTTTTCAAAAGTACAGATTCTTGAATCTTCACCACCCAACTATTATTCTGAGGCAGGGCTTGCATATCTGAATTTTTAAATGGGCTGGCATTTAGAAGCCTTTGACCAGGTGATCTCTAAATTCTCCTACATTTCACCATTTTGAATAAGGGCCAGAGATTAGACCAATGAAGAATATTCCAATGGGAAAGTCAGGGTTGTCAAGGATGAAACTTCTTGTCTTTCAACCCTTCATTTTCTTTTAATAAATCTGATAGAAGCACACCTCATAGCATCTATTTTCAAAGCAAATGCTTTTTTTTTAATGCTTTCTATTTTCAGGATAGCAATAGATAAGCATCTAAATTTTTATTAGGACAGGAGTAGCTGTACTGAACTGAGGAAAAGATGATGTGGAAGAGTCAGCTATAACCTTTAAATGTTGCCCTGTTCATTAAGTTACCCCAAAACATGATGTCTTACTTTACATGTGGAGCCTAACAGGCCAAGAACTGTTTCTCATGTGAGGTCAATAATGTCTGTGGCCTTAACTTCCCAATATGTAGTTGTAGGACTTTGAACAAGCCACTTAGTCTCTTCTGACCTTGGACTTCCCCAATTAGGGGGAGGGCTGAACTTGATAAGTTTGAAAGTCTCGTCTAACTTTACTCTAATGTATGCTGTATAACACTTGTGATATTAACTAACAGTTTTCTTATTAGTAAACATCTTATTAGTTAAACATGCTTAAATGTTTAACATTAGTTACCATTTTATTACCTAATAATAGCTAATCAAAAGACCATTCAGGGAATATGATCCAGGGTATATACCTATGTGGAGATAGAAGGAAGGGGTGATCAGAAATAAGGAAAGAGGCCTGGAGAGGAAAGGGGAGCTAGTGTGTGTACCCTGTCCCCCACCTTCTCACCCCCCACTCACACGCATACACACTTTGTGTCATAATTTTGCTGTGGTCTGGCTCTGCTTGTTTTAAAAAATATTTCAGTATTTCTTTTCCTTTTTTTAAATTTCTTTTTTTAAAGTTAATTTTTGTATGCTTATTTTTTTTTTATTGTAACAAAGTTGATTGTACGTATCTATGGGGTACAGAGTTGAATATCAATACCTGTGTGCAATATGTGATGTTCCAGTATTTCAATGTCAGAGCAGCAGGGGCCAAGGCCTAATCCTAATGCATTAGTTTCCATCTAAATCTCAGTGCCTCCATTTTTATGGAGTGGAATAGAGTTGCTCACGAAGTTATGGCCATAAAACAAATGCTCCAGTGACATTGATAAAACAGGAAGCCGAGGGCATCAAGCACAGTGTGGGAAGGCTGAGCACAAGATCATATAGCCCTTTAGCATCCCTTCGAAGATCCCTTCAGATCTCTTTGATTTTGAAGAGGACAGATCTTTCCTGATAATTCCCCCAATATACATCTCGCACACACCATTTGAATCCAGAAAAGATGAGGGTAGAGACTGTCTAAATGGTCAGATCTGGGCTTTCTGGATCAAAGAAAGACTAAATGCTAAGACTAAATTCACCTAAATGCTAAAGACTAAAATCCACAATTAGAGGTCCACTCCCGTTGGTTTATGTCCTTGCCTTCTGTCAATAGACAATTATCTTTGGAAATGATCTTGTGTTGGTCCCTCTCAGTCTTTCATGTCTTCATATGAATTATTCCATCAAATGCTTTCCTGAGGGTAGATGTTAGGAAAGAAGATAAGGAGCTAGGAGGTGGTGAAGAGACCCTGCTGCAAAGGGGTGGAGGGTACAGCACATCCTCCTCGGTGTGACAGGTATGACTAGGGCCAGGCTGGGTTAGAGGTAAGAGGATGAGTGGAAACACTGACATGGACTTTGTAAAAGCTCTTGCATCCCATGTAACCAGTAAATCAATAACACAGCACTCATACAATCACAGAACTAGAAATAGCGCATAATCCTAGTATCCAAGTGAATTTTGTGCCATTGGGGATCAAGCGTCTGAGAAATGCAATGTGCTCTATTACTTCCACCTCTACTTACCAACAGTCTTTAAGTCTATGAGACAATTATTTGTCCCTATTTGTAGGATGATAGAGACTTAGATTTTGGAAAGGAACTTAATGGACACTTAGGGCAATCTGCCTAAATATAGTTGGGGTAACCACATGTTCTTGTTTGCCCAGAACAGTCCAGTTTATGCCTGATGTTCAGATTTAATTTTTAATAGAGCACTCTTTCTGTCTGTAAAGTATCTCTATTCTGATGTTAAATGAGAAGGTCACCCCAGGAACAGAAATCTCTCAGCATAAATGCTGCCATGTTCAAGGTCTCAGTTGTGCTATCTTGTAAAATTACTGCATCATAAATGACTTCCCCTCAAATCAGATTCAATGTAAATAAGAGCTTTCAGGCATCGCCCTGATGAGAGGCCTCCAGGGAAGAAATAATGAGCAGAAACATCATGTGCCATATCTACGAAGACAAAATGGAATGAAGGGGACACTGGATATATGGTAAATCCAATAAACATGTGCAGCCAATTTAGATAATTCAGATTGGGGAAAAATATTTTCATTGGTAATAATCCAGCTCATTGTCACCGTCATCTAGATAAATGGCCCAGAACCTCACATGAGTTTACCCATGTAAACACAGTCTTCTGAGAAAGTCTGAGCCATCTCTTTTAGTGACTTTGAGGAGTAGAATAGAAACATCTACGTATAGTTTTAGAAAACATGGAGAATTTTCAACACTCACTCATAGTCATCCAGGTTTTCCTCTTCTTCAGATGAACTTGACTCAGGGAATCCCCTGAAGAAGAGCCAGGAAACAATGTGAACGCAAAAACCACCAAGACATGATCCAACTGCCTAGCAGTGCAATATCAAATTCCACCCTGCTTTTATCCACATAAATAAAATTTAGAATGTTAGAGTTCTGTTTTTGCACTTGAGAAGGTATCAGCAAGGTGAAGAGAGAGCCGCTTAAAAGTTGAGCTCATGCGCAATTTAATGAGAGAATAGCTCTTTGATACAGGAGGTCCACAGGAGGCCCCGAGGAACTTGGATTTCTTTGACTCTTTCAGAAGAGTGGGCTCATAAACTAGATAAAGACTCCTTCAGGGATGGCTGCAGTATAAAGTTAACAAAACCTTTCGTTGTGCATGCAAATATTCTTAGGGGAGAGTAATTCAACTAACACCGGTGTATATCACGAATGATGGTTAAGAAAAATCAGTGTGAAGAAAACTGTAACCTACAAGCCATGGACTGAGACCTCATAAAGGTTCAGAGAAGCAAACTACATGGACTTTTTTAGTTTATGTTTACCTTAAATGTAAAGCTTAGTTGCAAAATCATTGCGAATTTGGTTAGTTTTCCTGGAAATGGAAGCAAATCCTAAATGCAAAGAAATCTCTGAATTTGCTTTACCATGAGATCTTCGAGGTGCTGTGATTTACATTTCTTTCTGCTTGGTTACTGCATGCAACATCTTCACTACTGTAAAAAAAAAAAGGATATGTTTCATAAATCTATAAATTTTGTTTACTCATAAATGTTAAATGACAAAAGCAATTTTGTTCAGCTAATGAGTTACTTTCATATTTTGATCCTTTCAGGGACTCTAATAAAAAGCAGTAGTTTGGCAGGATTACTAAACAAAATAGAATTGTTAATAATGGCTCATCTCGTAATGACCCCCAAAAATAGAAAGCCTGGATTAACAAATCATTTTGACTAGTTTGCCCTGATTTTCACATAGAAATGAGCATTCTGTTGCCACTTATTTATTTTACAATGTTATTTTCCTCTTTGCTTTTGTGATTACAATGAAAAGTCTTGAAAATACTAAATTTTTAACTCCATCCAGACCCAGATGGATCAGCAGGATTTTCATCATCCTCTGTCATCCATCATTTTATCTCTTTCATTTTGGGTGTTAAGCAGAGCATGAGGAAGTGCCTATCTCTCAAAGTCCAAAGGCTTTTTTTATCTGGAGTGTAGGATCTGTTTCCTGTTTGCTTTCATAGTCAAGGCTCTTTTTCAAAATCACAGTTCATAGTGACAAGTTTCCTTAGCAAGGAAATGCTCCTCTGGCCCCATTTCAACCAATGCCTGGAGAAAGCCCTTAAACACTAGAATGCCTCCCTTCCCACCTTCACAAAGAGCCTGCCCAATAGAATAGCTTTTTGATTTTCTCTCTTCATGATAAAACTCTTATTCAAAAAGGTTAAGCAATTTATTTAGCTTTCTTGTTGTTTTTAAGAACACATGGAGAATGTCGATCAGTAGCGTGTCATTTAGGTTTACCCATATAATGGATTACTTCATAGAAATTAAAAATAATAAGGTAGGTCGCACAACAATGTGAATGTACTTAACACTACTGAACAGTATGCTTTAAAAAAATGGTAAATTTTGTTATGTGCATTTTACCGAAACTCAAATTAAAATAAACTTTTAAAAATCTGGTATATCATCATGTATTTAATGGGAAAAATGTTGAAGATGTCAAGTGAAAAGAAAAAGCAGCAAAAAGACTATATGGTGAGAATCTGTTTTTGTACTTGTATATAGAAGGGTACTTTAAAAAGTTCATGGAAAAATGGAATTAAAAGATAATACAAATTTTTCCATCAGCTTTTTGAAGACCCCTCGAATGGTAGCATGTGCATAGAAAACATTTTAGAAGAATGTATACTGAATATTCTACAATGTTTGAATACTTTAATGTGAGCATGGATTATTTTACTAATCTGAAAAAATAAAGATTAAAAAGTAGCTCAGGTGACGTTAGTTAAGAATTACAGAAAGTGGATAAAAAAAGTATTGTGTAATAAGTGAGCTAAGAATCATGGCTGCATTTTAATAATTCAGGATCCATGAAGACTTTTTAGCGATTAGTATAATTCACTAATAGATGCAATGCTGCTCATTCTAAGAATTAATCAATCGTTCACTCAAATAACCAGCTTTCTGATGTTCTAGGAAAAATATCCAGGGTTGGGACGAAATCTAAGGGGGTGTCAAAAACTCAGAAAAGAAGATAAATAGTATTTTAGTAAAATATTTTTAAAAATCAATGTTAATGCAAAAAATCCATGATGAATAAAATGTCAACATTTTAAATAAGGATAGGATCCAGCAATCCAGGAGTTGGTAGCGGCTCTGCAGCAACCGCATATGAATCAACAGTTCTTCCTTACGTATTTCAAAACTGGTCAGTTTCACCACACACCTCCCTTAATGAATCCCTTAATGGGGCTTCTGTTGGGAGGGGACCTGGAACAAGTTAACATGACATCCACTCTCCTTGCATTTGGGCTTATTGGTGGTCTCCTTCCACAAGAATGCTGGGCTACAGGCAGATAAATGTAACTCCTCCCCCCAGGCACCAGGTATAGACGAATACACTTGGATTCTAGCTCCACTTGGGAATGAAAGGGACCGCGGCTCGTTATACTGAAAAAAACAACATCAAGAAGAATACACTTACATTCCGCGGCTCGTTATACTGAAAAAAACAACATCAAGAAGAATACACTTACATTCTTTCAAGTTCCATATGGGCCTGTGGCTGTGTCATTGGTACAGTGAGGCATTTGCTTTAGGTAAAAATGATGAGGACGGAAAGAATAAAGGAATAAGAAGACAAGGGAGAAAACAAAGAAAAGAGATACATGGTGAGTCAGGGAGATGCATCCACTGTGGAGAAAGACGGACATCAGTATCATGTAGGGATGCTGATAACTGGGTAAGAAGACGGTGGACAGGGGACAACTTGATGGGGAGGAAGTGTGAGGCCACACATAAGGAAGGGTAGTCACCTGACCCTTTCTGCATGGTCACTTTGCAATTCAACTGAACATTTATTGAGCATCAAGTGTGGGGCAGACCCCAGGTATATACACAATTTATGTACAGCCTTCAAGGCATTTTCAATTCTGGCTTTAGATAGAATCTTTAGGCTGAATAACATGAGAAGACTAACAGGTCAGGAGAGGTGATGGTGTACATCCTGAGAAGGCAAGCCATGGCTTTGCTTGAAATGCTATTTATCGTTCTGCTAGTGATGCTGAAACACATTGCAAAAGTAAGCCCGCCCTAAACTCTGTCATATAAAGAGTATATTGTGAAGATTTTGTGTTCTGGAATGTGGGGTTATTTGGGGAACAGGGAAAAGATAGAGAAGGGCATAAAAACGTTCAAGTATTACTTTGATCATCAGACAGGGTAATCTAAATGAAAAGTCTATGCTGCTCAGCCCCAGCGGGGCTGCTGTTCCCTGGGTTTCTGGCTCAATCACTAAACATTTTTTGAGAGAACAGCCCTAGACCTACGTTGACAGCTATGAGGCTAATGAGCAAGGCAGAGGGATAATGTCTGCTCTACACACTGGAGAGCCAGCCTGAAAGCTGGGGCTTACCTGTTCAGTTTTCTTTCTTTCTTTTCATATAAGGAGTAAATTTTATTTTATTTTTACTTTATCAATATACAATGTAGTTGATTTTCGTGTCCCTTTACTAATTCCTCCTTTTCCTCCCTCCCTCTCCCCCTCCCCCATCAACATCATATCTGTTCACTTGTCTTAACAAGTTCAAGGAATTGTTGTGATTGTTGTGTCTTCTCCCCTCCCCCCAATTATTTGTTTGTATATTTATTTATTTATTTATTTACTTTTTAGCTCCCACAAATAAATGAGAACATGCGATATTTCTCTTTACCTTTTCAGTTTTCTTACTTGCCACCAGTCAGGGCAGTCTTCCCTTGAAATACAACGCATGTTGACGTTTGGCTGGGAGCCACAGTTTTTCTTTGAGTCACTGTCATGTTGGGCTAGAGTGGTACTTGAAGATGGTGCGTCCATTTTGAGAATAGGAGCTGCCCGAGGAATCTTCAAGATTGGAAGACAAGAGATTTTAAAACATCACAGTGAGACACAGATTCAGGTACAGGAACTAACAAGCTAACCATATCAGTTCTTAAATAGAAGGAAGGAAGGAGGCAATACTAAGTATTGGCAAGGATATGGAGCAACTAGAACTCTCATATTTTTGCTGGTGGGAGCATGAAGTGGTACAACCACACTGGGAACTTGTTTGCTGGATCTACTAGAGCTGGATGTGCACACACTCTATGACCCAGAAACTATATATATACAAGGGGTGTTCAAAAAGTTCATGGAAAGATTCATATTATCTTTTGATTGTTTCTCCACGAACTTTTTAAAGTACCCTTGTACATACCCAACAGTGAAACCAAAAGACATGTAAAAGAATGTTTATAGCAGAATTATATGAATTAGATAAAAAACTTGAAACTAACTAAATGCCCATCAAGAAAATAAAATAATAAATGTATTGCAGTTGCAGTAGGCTGAATAATGGTCCCCCAAAGATATTCATGTCCCAATGCCCAGACCTCTGGATAACTTACGTGGTAAAATAGATTTTGCAGATTGTGATTAAGTGAAAGATATTGAGATGGGGAGATTATTCTGATTATTGGGATAGGCCTGATGTCATCATAAGGGCCCTTATGAAAGGGAGGCAAAGTAGTCAGAGATCACAGAGAAGATGTGAGGATGGAAGCAGAGGTCAGAGAGCAGAGAAGCTGCTACACTTCTGGCTCTGAAGAAGGAGGAAGGGGCCAGGAACCAAGGAACGTAGGTGGCCTTTAGAAGCTGGAAAAGGCAAGGAAACAGATTCTCCCCTGAAGCCTCCAGAAGGAACACAGCTGTATAGACTTCTGAACTTTATAACAGTAGGAGAATAAATTTGTGTTGATTTTAGCCACTAAATTTGCAGTAATTCATTAGAGCAGCAATAAGAAACTAATACAGTGGTATATTTGCAGAATGCAATTACACAGCAATGAAAATAAACTACAGCCACATACTAGAAAATGGGTGAGTTTCATAAATTGAACAAAAGGAGACAGACGATAAATGACTATATACTTTATGATTCCATTTATACAAAGGTCAAACCATTTATGATGTTATAAGTCAGGCTAGCAATTGCTCTTGGTGGGTTGTAGTCACTGAATGGGTACATGAGGATACCCTTGGGGTACTGTGATGTTCTGTTTCTTAATCTCAGTGTGGCTTATACAGATGCATTCAGTCTGTGAAAATTCATCCAGCTGACCACTTATGATTTGTGTGCATTTTTAAGAGCACGTTATACTTCAATTAAAAATTCACGTCACATACGTGTGTGTGTTTGTATGTGCATGCGTGTGTGTGTGTGTACCTAGCTCTGAATTTATTTTTTCACACTGTATTTTACTTTTTTTCAGGGATATAATTTATTTGGAGTTGAAGCTTTGGCATTCTGGAAATTTTAATTATTCAGAACATTGTTATTTATGAACTGTAAGGTGAGTTCTCTCCAAGGATAAATGCACTGGAAAGTTTCCTCAATGGAAATCTGCACATAATGGCTAAAGAGCTGATTTTTATTTCTTCCTCTCAGAAAAACGTCTTCTATTGAATGCTGTGGTAAAAACAAACAAAAAACAACAACAAAAGGAAAAACATGCTTTTCATGGTACCTCTGACCCCTGGTTCATTCGGGCAGCATATAAACAAAAGAGGCTTAGGAAGCCTTGGCCACTGATTTGCCTGGCTGATATTTTCAATATGTCAGAAGAGCTCCCTGCCAGAGACTAGATTCAATGGTTTCTGGCTCCTAAACTATCCTCTGCTCTTAGATTTGTTTAAAACAAACTACTGGGAATTCACCCTTTTTAAGTGTAGAATTCAGTGACTTTTAGTAAATTTATCAAGTTGTGTAACTGTCACCACAATCCAGTCTCAGCACATTTCCCTCACCCCAGTAAGATCCCGCATGCCCAGTTGCAGTCAATCCCATTCCCACTTTGGCCCCAGGCAACCACTAATTGACCTCCTGTCTGTATAGAATTACCTATTCTGGACACCACTCTTAGGTGTTTTATAGGGCCATCATTTTCGAGATTCAGGACTGGAGTACGTATCCAAACCAAAACAGCAATGTTGCTGATAACAAAGTTAAAAATCCAACCCATAATAATTGTTTCATGGGGCTGCCACAACAAATTACCACACATTTGGTGGATTAAAACAACAGAAATATATTCTTCCACAGTTCTGGAGGCCAGAAGTCCAAAATCAAGGTGATAGCATGACCATGCTCACTCTGAAGGCTCTAGGGGAAAATCTGCCCTTGCCTTTTCCAGCTTCTGGTGGTTCCAGGTGTTCTTTGGCTTGTGGTAGCATCACTCCAATCTCTGCTTAGATCTTCACAAGGCCTTTTCCCTTGTGTCTCTCTCTGTCCTCTCATCTTCTTACATGGACACCAGTCACTGAATTTAGGGCCCACACTCATCCTGTATGATCTCATCTTGATCTCTTACTAGTTACATCTGCAAAGACCCTGTTTACAAATCAGGTCACATCCTGAGGTTCTGGATGGACATGAAATTTGGGGGACACTATTCAATGTACTATAATAATGGATTATTTTTCTTCTTCATGTCGGTTCACAAAAATTACAGGGTTTATACTTAGGAAGAAAGAAGTAAGTGTGCATGAATGTGTGTAGTTGAAAGTAAGACCCAATGGGTGGGTGATATCCCCTCAATTTCAGATGAGCTTCCAGAGAATCACTAGGAGGTCATCTTATGTGTCTCCTGGCATTTGAGCAGTGTGACACCGGCCTGGGAAGACTAAGAGCAGGAGACTGTCGCTAAGAATCCAAGAAGGTACGGCATAAAGAGAGTAGCAGTGTGTACTGTGAAAGCAAGCTGCATATAGCTTAATTAACCAGCGCAATCAAGGTTTTGTTTGTTTTCCTGTAGGCCAACTCCACCCTTAAAAAGAGTTGGCTGGGAGCCATCTTGAAAGGAACTCTGCCCAAGTTGGGTGAATTGACCCAGTGGAAGTGTTAAGGGCTGGAAACTCAAGAGCTGAGAATTAAGACATCTCCTCTGTCACAAAGCTACATTTGGATCTGCCCCCTTTCTCTCAGTGGGAAACCCACAAAAATGTCCCATAAGATAAAAATCAGCATTGGGAAACTCTCCCAGATACCCACTCCCAAATCATGACAGGACCAGCTATGTATGAGTGTCTCTTTTTCATCAGATACCCTCTTCCTCGGCCACAACCCTGAAAGGTCCTGAAATCCCAGCCTCTACACAACCCCTCCCCAAAAGCAGGCTTCCAGCTGATGCAGACCTGAGCTAGGTAAAGGGGAGAAGTTCGAAGTTGGAACGATCTTTGGAGTACTGCGATTACAACAATGGGTGGGACGATTCAGTGGCTATTCTCATGACTACTAGTAATTGAGAAAAATTTTACCATCTGAGAGTGACCGGAAAGCTAAGGAATCTGCCTAAGAAGTTATCAGAAGACAGAAAAGAAAGTCCACAGAGTGGCTTTGAAAAAATAATGGATGAAAAGAATTATGTTGCTTTCTACTTGTGCCTTGTGGAGTCCCATTCCATCACCAGGATACTTCCACGAGGCAGATGTGGCCACGATGGTGACAGAGAAAGAATGGCAGCTAATAATAACAGCTGTCTGTTATGGTGATGCCATCTTAGGATGTCTCCTCCATGCACCCATTTTTTTGGTGAGTATTTATGGGCTTACTGTTTAGGAAAAGACCCAGTAATCAACTACAAGAATATAAAATGTTACACTGGTTCTATACTTGAATCCATTATTTGATAACTGTCCATAGCTATTAGTGATGGCTCACGTGTTTTTTCTCTCTTTGCTGAGCGGTCTGAATGAAGCCCACATTTTCTAGTCTTGAATCCTGCAACTCTTAATTTATTTAGTATATCCCAACTATGAAAAACATTTTCAGAAGTGGACTTACCACCCTGTCTAGGAAAGTAGGAGCTCTGTGTTTCTCTTCATTGACTGCAATGTGCAGATCAGCATCTGAAAAGTAAAACCAAGTAATATCAGAAGAACTTTAAGTCAAATAAAGAAAAACACCCAATGTTATGAACCAAAAGAATGAATGAGCTTGTGTGAGCAATATCTAGATTAAATGAATTCAGACACAACATCTGGAGTGATACTGTAGCTTTCCTGTGTAAAGCCCAACTCAAACACCACTCCTCCACCATTGGATTATCAATATCTTCCCAAATCTGGATTAAAAATTCAAGTTCCTCTAAGCCCTATAAACTATTGATTTATACCTCATTTCTACCTTGTATTTGAGTCACAGATCTCTAATTTTGTTGGGTGGTACATAAGACCCTAGGGGTCAGAATTCATGTCTGATTCCTCTTTGGCTCATACAATATACTTTAATCATTCTTAGATATCAATAAACAGTTGAATACATAAACACACCTATTGCATGCTTTTTTTTTTCATGTTCTGGTCATTGTTGATTTCTCTTTCTACTCTCACACGTAGGTAGATGTCCAAGCTGTGAGTGTGAAGCCACCGTTTGCCTAATCAGTGGGGTGACCACCTGGTTTACTACCCACACTGGAAAGTGAAAGGGTATCCTTTTAATAATTATGCCAGGTTACCAGGCACAGAATGAGATTACCTCAAACAAACTGGGGTGTTTGGTCAACCTACTGGTAGTACATATATACCAAAAAGAGGGGGGACCAGGGCATTTTAGAGACAAAAAGAAGCAAAGACATTCAGCTTTTTCCTTCCTAGTATCTGTGCTCATGGGCTGCCCAGGGGCTCAGCAGAGGAAGCCAAGAGAATACATCATACTTGGGGAGATAGACCATATCACGGCTGCTCCTGAGCTGCAACACCTCTACACTCTGTAGTTTTCCCCAGAGGCTGGCAGAGGCGTAGACAGAGTCTAGGAATATAATCCCAAGGTAGTGCTCTCTCTGGCCTTTTTCCTGCTCCTTCCTGGGAGTTAGGGCAAGGTCAGAGCTGGAATCTGGCCTGCTAGGTAATGATGCCAGACTGTAGACAGAACCACTGGGGAAAGTGATTACTACCACGAGGAGACATCATGGCTCTTCAGCTTCTCACAGTGGAAGGAAGACCACTGTACAGTAAATTCTGTATAGTTCAATCAATCACTATAATTCATGGGTATAAAGGGCAATGTGATCTAATTGAGATTAATAAATATTCATTGTATAGTCTAATTGAGGTGGAAAACGCAATGAATATTCATTGATTTTTTCTCTTTTTTTGGTAGGAATACCAGCAGTAACGTTAACATGATTGTTGGGTATCATACTGTTATGGGGCGAATTTGAAAAATATTTCATGTGCCTATGTGTTTTCTAGTTCATGAAGTGCTATTATGTAGTTGATCTCATTCAATTCTTTGAAGCCATTAGTAATCCAGGCATATTCTGTCCAGGCTGGTAAAACTATTATCAAAACAAGTTCTCCTTTTTTATTTATCAATATCTTCATGTTGCTAAACAATTATAAACTTTTAAAATATATGAGCTCCTTGTTTTCCAAGAATAGGGATAGTATCTGATTGTATGGAAAGCAGACCCTTCTCTACCTTCTCTGATGTCATTAAGAAATCAACACAAAAGTACAGAATGACAAACCACTTTAAATATATCTTTTAAAACTTGGTCCTCATATTGGTGTATATGATAATTTAAAATGTTACTTAAATTGTATCTTTTCATATGATTTTGAAAGAATTTTTTTTGTTTCTTTTGGTTTTTGATTTTTGCTGTTTATAAGAAAAGAGAGCTGATTTTCCCATCAAGTGGGAAACCTAGCTATTTAAACCATGGTAATATCACCACGTTCTGCCTCTTCAGTCTATCTTAAACCAGGAAAAATGATGGGAGGACATAACAGCTCATTGCTTGACTAATGATTCTAATTTTTAAAATATTTCTCATGAAATGAAAGAATGGCAGATGCTAATATTGTTATTATTTTAATGGCCATGAGCCAGTTGACCTTAGAATTACACTGTATTTGTCACATAGCATCTGCAAGGCTAGATTTTCCTGATGCCAACCAATCTGGTACATCTTGTTTTCTGGCAAGCTGTTTTGGCATCTGGCAGGCTTGGCCTAATGGGACACCATCTACCAGCATACAGCCCCACAAAGAGGTCACACATTACATGCTTCCCAGAGAGTACATCCTGGAGCCGCTTTGCAACTCTGCTGGCAGCACAGGAACTTCCCGTCCACGAAGAACCCACTGTGGTACTTGATCAGCAGGTGCGGGTTGCCCCTTATCTCTAGGAGCAGGCAGGAAGAAAACAAGACGTGAGCAAAGGTTGGCCCAAGAGAAGAAATGCAGTCAGTAACCACTATTATCACAGAACAATAAAATCCCCATTTGCCAGCAACCAAAATAAGAGCAAATGGTTCTCGAAGGATATGTCTTTCACTCAAAAGTTAATAAGCCAAAAAGGAAAAAGAAAAGTCAACCATGTGAATAGTCAGAACAACACAATAACTTATATCATTTTTGGAGGAAAAAAAACTAGTAAAAAATGCATATACAGATCAACTTGGTGTTAGGATTTTAGAAATACATTCAGAAAGGAAGTGACTGGGTTACAGCACATGGTGTTCTCTTTTGGCAGAAGGAGGCTGGAGGGTAGGACTAGATTTTAGCAAAAAGGAAAAATAAAGGTCCTAATAAACATACACTTTCCCCGCTTTTTATTTTGAAAAATTTCAAATGTACAAAAAAACATTGCAAGAATAGTACAATGAACATCCATACACCCTTTACCTAGATTTACCAATTTTGCCACATTTGTTGTATCTCTTTCTCTCTGTATGTACATATTATAATTATTTAAAAATGTCTAATCATATTATATTTTTCTTAAAATTTGAGAATAAGTAGCAGGTATTATGACCTAAATAATGTCACCCATACATATTTCAGCATGTAACTTCTATTAGCAAGCATTCTCGTATATAACAATAATACAATTATCAAATTCAGGAAGTTTAACACTGATACAATATTATTACTTAACACATATTCTATATTCAAAATTTTTCTAATTCTTTCAACAGTCTCCTTTATACTCACTCTTTTTTTCTTTCTGATCAAGGGTCTAATCCAAAATCACGCTTGGCATTTAGTTCTCCAGTTTTCTTAGATCTAGAACGGTTTCTCATCCCTTCTTTGTCTTTTGTGACTTTGACATGTTTATTGTAAGGAATGAATGGTTTATGAGGCTACTTTTCTAGGAATATGTACATATTAAAAAGAAACATAGAATAGGGAAATATTTAATTCAAAAAAATTCCAGCCTTGAAGTGCAATACTGTGTCTATAACAAATTAACCTCTTCTGAAATACAACAGAGACACCTACAAGGCCTTAGTAGAGAATATTTCAAGAAGAGTCTCTACATGGGGAGGACTGGTTCTATATGTAGCTTCAACTCTTTCTCTCTTGATTTTACATTCATCTCGAGGATTCCTTATTTTGGTCCCGGGAGAGTTCCACTCCTCCTATGCAGCCCTGACTCAGGAAGTGTATGGCAATAATAATAACTGCTTTGCTGGGTCATTGGGAGAATACTCGAGAGTGTATGTCAAGCACCCAGCACAGTGTTTGGCCCAACGTAGGAGTTCAATGAACACTAGGCTTTAGTATGCCACTCCCTTAGTTTAATTTAGTTCAGGTTAGCTGAAAATGTTGGCATTAAAAAAACTTTACTAATGAGAATTAAAATGAAATTATTACAGAAATCATAAAAAGCAAAAAGCAATTTTTCAGTGATTCTCAAAGCACATAGCATGATGTAGACAATAAGAGAAAGAATTAAAGGCCTAGGCTAGGGAAGCAGCAGACCTGGCTGTGATGCTGTTTCTGCCACTCACCTTGGGTGAGTTATGTAACTTCTCCGATCCTCAGTATCCTCATCTAACAGGCTATTGTGAGGGGTCAATGGATGACAAGAGAACGTAGCAACTAAAGCTAACCTTTATTGAGAACACTTATGCTAAATGTTTTACATAGGATATCTAAATTAATTAAAAGTGATTATTTCCCTAACACAGGAGGTGTCACAAAGTGGTTACTGATGTAAGTTGTGGAACTAAATCTAGAGATTTTCAGTGCAAATAAAAATCTGTGCATAGCAAGAAAAAAAAAAAAAGTTTACAAAACACAAGTTTCTGATCTTGGTCCCAAAAGGTCACTACAATTTCATGGGTACATCACTTGCCGTCTTGCTCCCTAAGCTCCTGATCAATATGGTCAGGATTCTTATTATTTCCTAACACGTGGATTTAGTTTCCCAGGTAACTAATTCTTTTCCTAACCAAATCCAAAAGTCCACATTGCAACCAACACTCCCTCCACCTAGTAATGACAATAAGAGGAACTCATATATTAATGTGTATATTACATTTTGTTCCTCACATACGTCATCTCATCTAATATAATCAATAACCTTGAAGGGCTAACTACTATCGCTATCATAACTCTCACAGAGTTAGGTAAACTGAGATGCAGAGAGGTGGTGAAACTTGCTCAAGTTCACAAGCCTAAAAAATGGCAGATCTGAGACTCAGTCCCAGGCCTTTCTACTACATTCTGATGCACAGATGCCAACTTCTCTGCCAAATCCCCTTCAGTTTTAAATTTTAGAAGGAAGGGCGCATTTTATCCACATCTGGTTAGCCGAATTCAGAACCATGGTAGCTGACTCCTTAAGTCACTACTGAGTCAGCCCAAACTTTCCAAGTGTAGGCTACCATCTGGAAAATTCTATGCCTTCAATGTCTGCCTCAGTTTATAATGCTTGAGCCAAGTAATAGATATAAAAAGGGTACAGGGAGGTGGTCACTGTATCACAATGAAACTTCGTAGGGGAGAAGATTTGAGTGGGGGAACCTCTTTGTTTTCCTGTAGTAGATTGTTTGGCCAATTTGACAGCCAATCCCACTCACCTTCTCTCTCATTATCTTCCAGCATAGAGGCTAGAAAAAAAACAGCACTGTCTTCCAGCATCCACTGCACATGGAAATGGCCATGAGAATACAGTTCTGGACTACATGACACAAGCAAAAGTTTGCAAGGGGGCTTTTGGGAAAGCTCAGAACCTCTCTGGGAGCCTCTAACGGTGGCAGAACAGAAAGCAAGGAGGAGCCTGCATCCTTACTGACTTTACTGAGCTGCTGTAGTAGCCCAGGACTGCCTACCTCTGGATTTGTTACTGTGAGAGAAGAACAAAAGTGGATTTGTTTCAGCAACCATTTGGGGTATTTTTACCTGCAGTCCAAAGCATTACTAACTGATACAAATCACTTGCTGGGCCTATGGCAGCCCTAGTGACAGGGACCCTCTGCAGTTTCATGAGGGACTAGGAGATGCATGTTTGCTTCTCTCTCTGCTCTCCTTTTACATTCCACATGCCCTTACATGAGCTGCCCAGGGGCCTTCCAACCCTGTCTAACGTATATAGTTCCAGAAGGACTCATAATGGGAGACCTAGGGCATGACCAAGAGTTGCACACAGGAGGTGTCTACACAGCAACTGCCCCCCCTCCCAAATTCCCCAGGAGGAGACTAAATGGGAAGCAGAATCTTGGAGCTCCTCCTGGGAGCTCCATTATAGCCACAGTGACACATGTTTATGCATAGGATACTTTAACATATTTACGAGTGTCTTATTTGTGGCTTGTGACCAGTCTAGGAGAAAAGAAATATGATCTCCCATTTTATAGGTCAGAAAACTGAGACCCAGAGATGTTAGAATTAGATGACACAGCAAAGCAGGACTTGACTGCAGGTTTGTCTGACTCTAAGAGGGAGGGATGCTCTTCTCATTTCCATGAGCTGATGGTGGGTCGAGGGAGGCTTTTCTCCCCCCACAGACCATCGGACTATCCTACAGAATAGGTTACTAAACCATTGCATGCAAATGGAAAATTAAGCCCTATGTGTAAAAAGAAAGGATGTCCTTTGCATGGAAGTGGAGTAGGCATGCACAATTTAAGGTGTACTGAGAAAGAGCCATAATCTAAAACTTAAATAAAATAATAAAATCTTTTCCAGTCTGGGAGCTTAATACCTGAAATTCCACAAATAGAGTCATTCATCGGAGTTAAATATTGTCCTCACACCATTACTCACCTTTAAAATGGAGAGAAACATAGTGCCAAATTACTAACAACGATTCTCTCCTTTCTACCAAAGGTTGTTACCAGGTCAACCTAAAAATTACTGAATAAAAGCTTCATTAAATCACTCTTTTTGCCTAGCATGTACAATGCATTGGTTGAAAAGTTTGGTTTGGATCACTGAGTTCTGAGTCTCCTATTATGAGGTATGTGACAGTAGCCATATTTTTTAAATTTCACTTGTCTGAAAAATAGCAAATAATATTACCCCTTCTGCAGTTGTCAAGAGGATTACCTGAGAAAATGTTTCAGAAGCACTTGATAAAGTAGCTGGCAAATTGTAAGTGCTCATTAAGTATTAAATACAACTTTCCATAAACATCGAAAGTACAGTAGCTACAGGACTTGACACAGCCCGTGAGGACCTAGACTTTGCCCTAGTAAAGGCAGGCACAGTGGGTGGAGAACTGCAGGCCTGGCTTTGCCCAAGTTGCTGGGAAGGCATGATAGCCAGCTCTGTGCTGAGTGGGAAAGGGATCCAATCTCCTCGCTTTGCAAAATGAGGATGGGTCTGACACATTCCGTGAGTTTGGTAGGAAAATCAGCAGATTCTCTCTTGGCATTGGGTCTTTCTACTGCCATATCTTTCCGTCACCAAGGCTCAAAAGAACTCAGTTGTGTTTTATGACATTTTTATTACCTTTTTGTAATGCTTTCAACCACTGACCTCGGCTCTCTTCATTTGATGCATAGACATAGAGAAGCCCATCTTTATAGACGATCTGGAAAGGAAAAGATTTGGTGCATCTGGATATAATTGCATCATAGTTCACTTTGGTGCAACCGCAAATTTTCTGTTATCCAAAAGAAACCTTGAGATTGCTAATATAATATATGTTAGCTCTGGAGTTAGACAAAAAAAAAAAAAAAAAACCTCTACATTTTACTTTTTTTTAATCCTCCATCCCTCCTCCATCCCTCAATTTGTTTTTCCCAGACACTCCTACACTTTGGAAAATCACAGCAGTGATGCTTCTGACAGGGGTTAACATTGAACCATGGAGAATTATAATAGGTTAGACATTACACGTGTCTTAGGAGTGTTCTAGTCCATCCACCTACTTAGTGCATGATTCCCTTAACAGCCCATTGGAAAATGTTTAACTGCCCATCCTTAAATTACCTCCAGGGAGGAACTGTTCTTTACTTGGCTATGACATATTTGCCAATTTGCATATATTCCGATCATTATACAATCCATGCTTATATTGAGTAAAAATATCTCCCTATTATTTCAGTCTGTTGCATCATGTGGCACCCTAGGAATCATCCTCAGAATAAGTCATTTTCTATTCCTTAAGATACTTGTTTAAATATTTGAAGATTACAGTGCCTTCTCCAGATCCTCCTCTAGTTTATTCAACTCTTGTTGGTAAATAATACATACCATTTATCAAACACCTACAAGTTTCTGGGCTCTTTCTTAGCAACTTTAATATCTTAACCCTATTTTAACTCTATGAAAGAAAAATGAGCATGCCCTTTTTGCAAGTGAAGAAACATCCTCTGAGAGCAGGGGAGTACGTGTTCATGGTTGCACAAATAGAAGTGATGGGAGTGGGAGCTCTGTGGGCTTCCAAAGCCTGTGCTCTTGTGAGTACCCTATGCCTCTGTGATGTGAGTTTGGAGCTCTTTCATGAGCACACTCTCCCCTGGTTTCTCCCAATTGTGTACTTTAAAAAAAAATTGGAAGTATGGGTTGTTAATTAACTGGATTATTATATTTTAGTTACGGCTACAGGTCCCTAATACTAGCACTGGGTACTGTGGCAATCTGAAAGACAATCCATCTGCGTTTAGACAAGAAAGGTAAGTATTCATGATATAATAAATGTAGGCCATGACTTAGATCAAGCCACGGCCAAAAGCTACTGTAGGCATAGTCTCTATAGTGTGCCATTGTTTAAAGCATTTCCGGGTACAGTTGCAGCTCCTCAGCACAGTGAGCAGAGCCCTTTACAGGCCCTGCCTAGGCTCCAGGCACATCTCTCCCACTGTCTCATGGGGACGCTTTATTCATGGGGACTTGGAGTTCTCCCAATATGCCACACTATTTCATCCATCAGTGCCTTGACACCTGCTGCTTCTTTTGCCCTTTCCGTCATTGCTGGGTTAAACTCTACCTGTCCTTCCCAACCTGACCGTTGCTTCCAATAGAGATCTCCCTGAGTCCTCGGAGTACAGACAGAGGTGCCTCTCCTGGGGCACAGTGGATGCACTCTGCCGACCTCCATCTTAACACTTACCCTCACTGCATGATAATTGTCTGCTTATTAGTCTATTTTGCCACCTCCCAGTAAATGCCTTGGAGCAGGGTCAGTGTTTTATTCTCTGTAGCATGCCTACTACCCTGTGGCACATCAGAGACACTCGATGATACTTGACGAAAGAGACTGAGTGGCCTGTGGCAGGTCAGGCCACTGCAGCATACACTGTCAGCTTGCTTCCCCTCTCTCCAGGGAAGGCAATTTGGTGGACAGAATTTTAGCAAAATGCCCAGCTCCTATCTGGGGATATTCTAAGCCTTGCCATTGTCTTAATGGATCATTTTTCCTGGATATACTGAGTTCATAATTTAAAAAAATAAAAATAAAAAATAAAAAAAAAAATATATATATATATATATATATCTTGTAGCATGTGTTCTTTTTTTTAAATTTATCAATTTACAATGTTGATTTTCGTGTCCCTTTACCAATTCCGCCTTTTCCTCCCTCCCTCTTCCCCCTCCCCCCATCAACATTATATCTTGTCTTAATAAGTTGAAGGAATTGTTGTGATTGTTGTGTCTTTGATAAATAAATAAATATACAAACAAATAAATGGTGGGCAGGGAATAATAAAAAATATTAAAGGAAGAACTATTCACCCAATGTAATGCTGTTTCTCCCTTTACCTGAAATGGGTACTGTCTCTCCACGGGTGTCTGCTCCTCGAGATTTACTTTTTCCACACATCTGATTTTCTTAATTTCAATTGATCCTTTTCTGCTGCCTCTTTTCTAAATTAAAAAACAAAATATAAGGTGTTTCATGCAATGCACCAAGGAAAAGCATAAAACTAAAGTTGTGCTTGGGACAGAGGTTGGTGGATAGGGTGGGCAATGAAGAATCACTTCCCATTCCCCACAATAGTCCACATCCAATGGCAACAAAATATATTTCCAAAGTGTGGACATAAACACACCTCTCCAAAAGAAAGTCTCTAAACAGTAGTTAAGATTCTAGTTTAATAATCTTTTTTAAAAACTTTATTTTTTTATTGTAACACAGGTTATTGTACGTATATGTGGCATACAGAGTTGAATATCAATACTCACATGCAAGATGCAATGCTGAAATCAGAATAATTATTATATTCAACAATATATACTGTCATTGCTATTTGTGGTCCTTTACCAATTCCTCCCACCCCCCTTCCCACTTCTAGTAACCTCAGTTCTCCTTTTGAAAGTTCATCTCGAAATGTGTTTCAAATCACCTGCCACGTGCTAAATACACTCAGGAAATCAAGATTTAACTCTGCAAAGCATCTTTACTTTGTTTCAATTTTTTGACAGATTTCAGTATTTCTACTATGATAAAATTCTCAACTGTACAGAAATAGTCTTATTGCCAGCATTGTTTTAAGGCAGCATTCCTGATCCTTAGCATTATTAACATTTGGGGCTCGATAATTCTTTATTGTGGGGCTGTCCTGTGCACTGTAGGATGTTTAGTAGCATTCCTGGTCTCTACCCACTAGATGCCAGGAGCACTTACCACCCCTTAGGCTGTGACAACCAAAAGTGTCTCCAGCCATTGCCCAATGTCCTCTGGCGGCGGTTAGGCAAAGAATGCCCTCAGTTGAGAACCATTGTTCTAAAGTTATAATTAGTAAAGTTAACTGATGTTTTAAAATCCTTTATTTTGAGTTCATTATATCTTGTTCAAGACAAGGCAATGTGATAAGTGGATACAAGTTGATCTTTACCGTGTAAGCTTAGAAACTGGTATTGTTTCATTATAATCAAGCACTTTATGGAGACAGGAAAAATAATAAATAGTCTAAGAACAATGCAATAAATAGGCTCTCACCATTTTGTCATATTCATAGTAGGAAAGGTTTGTTTTAGTCAATACAAAAAGCCGCTCTTTGTAATTATTTGGTGACATTTTCTTCTTTTGCTGTGACCTTTTGAGAAGAACTTCTTCTAGAATGGATTTTGTATCCATATTATCATCCTAAATAAAATAAAATAATTCGAATGAATATTTGTAACATCTAGCTAGGTTCTCTTTTAGCCTTCATATTTTTTACTCAACTATTTTTCATTCAGGGATAATATAAATGTTAATTTTTTAAAAAATGAGACTGATTTAGGATTACAGAGTAAACTACACACATACCTACAGTTTTTTCCTACTGCCTTTACATTGAGTTTTATAAATATGTTGATTTTTAAAGCATTTTATGCATTTGACTCATCTTTCACTCTCCACCATCTCTGCACCACCATACAGACCACCTTATCAAAATGCTCTTTACTCCTTAAACAATCTACAGGAGTTTGTTGACTTGAATAGAATATAATACATTTTTTTAAAAAAATTGAACTCCAGACATCTCACTATGTATGAAGTAATTGTTCAACTAGAATTTTCCTCCAATGGTTTGACCAAATTATCCAAACTACCATGAGAGGCTGACATTATTGTAAATGACACCTGCAACTGATCATAACCAGATTTTTAACATAAAGAGCATGGGTATAATTTTCAATATTTCTGAGAATTTAAAATCAAAATAAATACCCAAGATAGAATAAAATGAGTGCAATAAAAATGCTATCAAAAGAGATTTAAAAGAACTGAAAAAGAAATTCGTACATTCCCAAAGTAAAAACACTCTTGCTTTTCCTTCCAAAACCAGGTAAAATATTAAAACTTAAAGTATTTCTTTTTTTTTTTTTTTTGTCTTTTTCCGTGTCCGGCAACGGATCGCAACCCTCAGGGTCGCCCCCATACCGGACCGGGACCGGCAACAGGATCACAACCCTTGGTGTTGCCCCCGCGCCTCGCTCAGCCAGTGAGCGGGAACTGGTCTGTATGTGGGATCCGAACCCTCGGCGGGAGCGCTGCCGCACTTCCCAAGCGGTGCACTAGCGCAGTGCGCCACCGGGCCAGCCCCAAACTTAATGTATTTCTGAAAAATAAATGCATTAATTTTC